GAATTATTTTCATTTTTTTTGGAAGGGGTGGGGGGGGGGCAAGGGAGAGACTTTTATAGATAAAGTGTAGACCAATTCAGCCCCACCATGGTTGAGGCTGAAGTAAGAAAAGTTACCTCAGCACCTCCAGTTTGGCCGGAAATGGCACTCAGACTTTAATTTGAATTTAATTTTCTTTTTTCTCCACTTTCAAATTTTGAAAAAAAAGAGAAGGTGGGCTGGCTGGGACCCCTTGGATCTGGCACTGAAATACTCATCATAAACTTTTTTTCAATTTATCCCAGTAATACATATTTCGTGCAAATTAACATTCATAAAAACGTTTTATTACCTACTGATTAGCTTGTGATGTATTCAAACTAATTCTATATTATCTTTGCATTTACAGTACTATTAAAATCAATCAAGCCTTCTAATCCCAGGGTCCTTGGTTCAATTCCTGTAACAGCAGACTTTTTCTCACAACGAAAAACAACTCCACTCCCTTAGTCTTATAAAGAGAGTCTGCTGATAAAAGCATCACATTCTTTCATAAAGAGGGGCCCCTGAATATCAGCCGACCTTTAAGGATAGGCTGAAAGGGTCGACTTCTATGGTTTTAAAAATAAGTTTAAAAAAAAAAAAAAAAGGATTGATTATAATTAACACTTACACAGAATTATAAGAAACCTATAAGACCAATGTTTATGTAATGTACCTTTATTGAAAAAAGACATATACTTGAGATCTTAAGACTAAATTCATACATAATAAACAATGTAAATCTCTTGCCATTAACAGTTTATTTACATATTCATAAGAGTAGTCTCATTTACATATCCCAAACTGTTTCATCTGTATATTTATACTCATTTGCATATGCAAATGAATAATAAACCATGTACAGTATGTCAAGGATCTCTTAAAATCAAATCTCTTGCCCGTAACAGTTTATTTACATATTCCAAATTGTCTTACCTGTATATTCAAATGATTATATATTCTCATTTGCATATTCAAATAAGTGTATAGTCTAAATTGCATATTCAATCAGAAATTCTCATGTTATAGAGTTTTGAATATAATTTTTTCTTGGACGGTTTCAGCAATCGTAATCTTAAAACAATAAACCAATATTCATAATATATACAGTTATTTACAAAGGGATTTCCTAAACTACTTTTAAAGAAGTTCATCTGTATTTTGCATCTATAAATAGAAATAATGTAATACAAGCTTTTCATTGGTTTATATTTTCCAGCACTAATCAAAACAAACGGGGAAAAAATAAAAAATTCTAAAATATTCTTCAAACTACTCCATCTTTTTAGTATTATACCCCCAATAGTATATATGATATACAGTCTTTAATAGGTAGACCAATAAATCATATGTTCTCCAATAGCCTTGACTATGGTGCTTGGCTTAAAAGCCAAGTCAACAGAAGCAAATGAAGGTTTTTGTAAAGTGTATTAGGTCCACAATCTAATTTTTCCTTTGAACAGCAAAAGTAAAGATTGAAATCGGCAAACCCAAGTCCGATGTTGAGCTTCAAATTGATGTTATTGTTTGTTTACTTTCCAGTAGATATCTAGATCACTAGAAATAGAAAAGACAATAACATTATGATTACTGTACACACAAACCTTTGGGGAGAGAAACTAGACAATCATTCAAGCTAAAACCATTATTCAAATATGTTGGTGACAACAACACCAACTTGTTACTTGTATAGCGCATTTATTACAGTTACAAAGTGCTGATAAGAAAAGTTGTAATTTCTTTGTCTTTCAATAAAAATATCTGGATTTGAGTATGAGTACGTATTTGAGTTCTTGGTTATTTATATGGCAATTTATCGAGGTTGTTTTCCTTCACCGAAGAGTACACCAGGGCATTGCTAAAGCTATAACACTATGAATTATACAGGAAAGTGAAGTGAACAACTGGGTTATTAATATGAAATGCATGATGTGCTATGTAAGTCTAATATCGTTATAAATTTAAACATAATAATGAGAAAATTATTGTAAACCTTACCTCTTTGTTTTCATCTCCCTTTTCACCATTTTCCGAGTCTTTCTTCTCTCCTTCACCATCACTACCATCCTGTGAAACAAAACAAATAAATACACTTTTTAACTATACATCTTAGGCCTAACTCTGGAGTTTACTGATAACCATCAATCACCCGGCCTTGTATTTGGGCTCATAAATTGGTAAACAGAGCTGAATTCTATTATTAAGTTATCAAATACATTAATGAAGGCTTGAAAAGTGGCCTTCTGAAATACCAAGTATTTTGAGCTCCACTTTGGCAACAAAAAAAAATATATTTTTGCAAATAAAATCCCACATAAGGCATTTGAGACTCTGTGGTAAATGCGCTTGGGCAACAAAAGGGTTTTGTTGAGCCTAACAAGAAACACTTCAAGAAGTTTTGCTTTATAAAAGCACATCATTATTACCAAGTTTTACGTAAGAATATACTGTATCAAACCTTCTTCTCTTGATCACTTTCCTCCTCAATAATCATCTTCTGTTCTTCAATCTTTGCTTGTTTGGCATCCATTTTCTTCTTCTCTGCATTGATGATCGTAAAGAATTCCTGCTCGGCCAACGCAACCAAGTCTTCATCATCAGCACCATGTCCCTCATCTTCATTTTCCTGGAAAGTAAACAATTCACTTACTTTTATATCTTATAGTTAATATGTATTATACCTTTTTCTTCTTTTTAAATTGAATTTCCCCATCAGGAAATAAACCCAATACCCTCTTATAACTGATCACAGAGCTAACCAAGCCTACAAAGCATTTTGAAACTAAATTTCAAACAATTATTTATTTATACATGATTTATTATACTTTTAGAATTTTTGTTGACCTCTATAGTTAAAGAGTTTGTAGTGTGGAGTGGCAAAGGAATCACTGCATAAAATTATTCTAAAGGTTAGGGGTGGGCTTATTCCAAGGATGGGCTTATACAAGAGAAACTATGGTACTGAACTTACTTGTTCTCCTTGAGCACTGGGAGCATTTCTTTTCAGCTTCAGTTCCCTCTGGCGTGACTCCAATATCTTCTCCCGTTTGGTTTCCCTCTCAAACATTGCGGTCACAAGAGCCTTCTCATTCCTCTGCATCGTACAAAGACTACTGGAGAGCTCTAAGAGCGTTGTAGTTCCTCTGTGGGATCCGGTGGCTATCAGCTTGCCCTGATCTTGCACACGAATGCTGTTCAACTCCTCATCGCAAACCTGAAATCAAAATTTGTGCAACTATTATGTTTGTGTCCTGAGCAAGGGACTTGCCTAACTTCAATGTCTCCAAGAGTAATAAATTGCTACCTACAGTAGCATCACCCACTGAAGCCATACAGGTGATGAAAAGGATGTTGATTGTAGAATTCTTAATTTACAACCAATTACATGTATAAGTACTGCTACCTTTTGTACCACTATCAGTGAATCTCCTTCAGGCAATCAACGTAGAAGTACATATACATAATTGGTTTTCAATTTAAAATTCTACAATCAACACCTACAGTAAAAACCTAATGAAATTATTTGAAGGATTAAAATTCTATATAGTAATTATAATTGTTCTTACCTGTAAGCTGAGGGTTGGGTCATTTTGTTTGAAGAGGTAATCCCAGACATCTAGGCTGCCATCGACTTTGGTGGTGAAGAACACAGCAGGACGAACTGGACTCCAGCAACCATCAGTCAGGTAAGACTGGTGATACCTAGTAGGGTAAAAATTGTTTCTAGGTCCTTTGTATTCCTTCATACAGTTTGCACAAAATGTTGTACAAGATACATCATTATCATCATCATCATTATCAACATCACCATCACCATAATCATCATCATCACCAACACTATCATATTCATCATCACCATAACTATCAATTTAACTTTATCATTAAATGAAATTATTATATTATTATTATTATTATTATTAAATTAGGTAATCGTACTTAGTCCACATAATTGAAGAGTCTCTGATGTCCTCTGACCAAATCTGAAACAAAAGAAACATATTTAAAAATTTGATTAGATAATATTAAGAGAAAACCAAAAAAGTAAAATTAGTTATAAAATTAACTCTTTGGTCTAGTTGAATAGCTAGGACATGCACCCTCACCTATTGGAAACTTGGTAAGAAAAAAATATTACTCAAATATAAAAAAAAGAATCACCTCATTCCCCAGCTTAGCGTGCCTTCACTTTCTAATTATTCCCCCTCCCCGCCAAATCATCCTCCACGTCAACAGTCTTATATAAACATGCCCCCTTATCTTTAGAACTTAATAATAATAATAATATTTATTGACATTACACTTTTACATCAGTGGCAGCACACAAGAAAGTGGCGCAGTCAAACTTAAACTAATGAACAAATAGTAAAAACAACAAAAAAGAATCACCTCATTCCCCAGCTTTGCGTGCCTTCACTTTCTAATTATTCCCCCTCCCCGCCAAATCATCCTCCACGTCATATAATATATAAACATGCCCCCTTATCTTTAGAACTTCACTTTAACAATAAATTGGATTAGCAATGTCTTTTAAAAACACTTATTTTATTTTAAATAATCCTTAATGTTATGATTCACAATAACATACTGTTTGAGTTAAATGATAACGAATGAAAGACTTACCCTTGCTGTCCAATCACCAACAGTGAGGAAGTTCTTAGGGAAGAATGGATTTCTTTGCAGGGCATACACTGCACCTAGGTGTTCCTTGTAGCTAGCCACAATTTTCTCCGCCGGGGTCTTGGCTTTCCTGTTGCAGGAAATGATAGTGCCTGCCTCTGTGCCAACCATGAACTTGGTAGGCTAGTGGAAGATAAAAATATGTTTGATGTAAGAAAATGTGATTTTTTATTTTTACTTTAGAATATATCACTAACTGATTAATCAATCAATTTGATACACTCTCCTGATAAAATGTTCCATTTAGGAAGTAGGAAGGAGTAATTTTGTTGTCAATCACACTAAGGATAACCCACTATAAGTCCGAAGACTTGTTTCCAGTGGGGTCCTTCTGGTAGTGAATTGGGCAGTACACAAGAAGACAATCCCCTACACTTTTCTGAAGAGTGTACTGCCTTCTTTAACATGCACATCGGCCATAGCGCACACAGGACCAACGGCCTAAACGTCTCATCCGAAAGACGATGCGCTATCGTAACTTGCATTTCAGCCCTCCAGCTGAAATAGAAGGAGAGCAGAGATGGGAATTGAACCAAGCGATCTCTAAGGTTCAGTGCACACACAGTGGACCACAAGCTTAGCCCATATATGGGCCCGATGAAGTCATTACACATAAGAAAATAAACCTGAGCTCTACTGGTGGCCTGTACTTTAATAGAAGGAAATTATTACTTACAATTGTTGGCTCATATTCCAGTGAAACGACACCTTGAGCGTTTGCAAGGTTGCCTTTTCTTGATGGATCCATAATTAATTTCTCGGTTGGTTCTCCGAGCTTCCTGATGTCCCACCATAGCACCTGACCATCGGTGGACGCTGAGAAACACTCCGTACCCGTCTTTGACTGCAACCACATCACCTTGTAGACAGGATCCATATGGCTGTATTCAACTGGTGATATCTCAACTGGATGGTAACCTTTTCTAGTGTCCCAGAAAGCTAGAGCAGAGTAAAAGTTAATTAGTCTCCTTCAATCAAATCAGGACAAAAATAAATTGCTTGTCTGCAGTGTAACATCATATTAAGCTGTTGTATAATTTTATCATAAAATTACAAATCATTCAATTTTTTACAATTATATTGATTTGAATACCCAAATGAATGGGTATATCTTAGCCTAAGATGTGAATATAACAAGTTGTAGTTGTTATACATGGCTAACATTTGTCAGAAAAGGCCTAGCAATTTCCTGTGAAAGTCCCTGTGCAGGGTCCAGTTCCCTTTGAAGGTCCCTTTGCAGATTCCTATCCAGGTCCTTTCACAGGGTCCCTCTATTCATGTCCTTATGAGACTTTGTGGGAACCAATTATTTTTTAATATGAAATGAAAAACTAGCCTTACGTATTTGACCATTATAGCATCCTCCGACCAACACATGAACATCTTTTGGGTTGTACTCAAGGCATACTAATGGTGATGCTGGCTTCAATATTGTCTCTGGCTTGTTTGGATTCTCTGTAGGTCATTTTAAATATAAAAAATCATAGTCAAATATAAAAACAATATTCAGTTACTTTTAAAACTTAATGCTACATTTATAAATTTCCTAATGGTATCAAGTACTAGTAATGGCTTGCATCTTTTCCCCCTCATTTTCAAGCAGTAATCTATCTAGAAGTACAGGCAATGGGAGGATGGTTGGAAGTGAGGGGGCACTATCTGAGGATATCAGTTGATTAGTTAGTACTTTCTTTGCTCAGCACATATCCAGTCAGGAAGAGGGAGGGAAATTTATTGTTGTGCAATGTTCTATTTCTTTGGAGCTTGCTAAAATAGGCCCCCTTTTAGATACACCACTGCACTCAAGTAATTGCTTTTTTACAGAGGTTGACATGGACTTATCCAAGGGAGGAAATATTATATGCATAGTTGGGTGGGTACAATCTATACATACATACATATGATGGAGAAACACTACCTCAAGATCAGAAGCAGGGATTGCTGGATACCAGGTATTAGATATGTAGTAATATAAACCTATAGCAGAAGTGACTAACATCAACATGTCCAAATGCAACTCATTTGCTGTTGCTTAAACAAGACAGGAATATTTGCCATCTATGGATTTTCAGATATTCTAACAAACCTATGTCCCAAATGTAAGAATCAAAGCTTGTGTCTGATGAGGATCTCTGGAATTCAAGGTTGGAATAGGCCACTGCAAGCTTCTTAGCACCATCTGGATACCAAGACAAATGTGTTGCTGTTCTTTTTACTTCATTTGGGTCCCTGTAATCAAAAGAAAAATTTTCTTCTGAATCACAATGGCACACCGTGATAATATTTACAGTATTTGACAGCACTTTAAGAAGCAAATGAAGTTTGCTATACAAAAACAAGATGATTTGTTATATATACGCTCAATTAAACCTACCTAAATACATTAATAGTCTTCGCTGATGGTGTTTCCTCTGTTTCTTCAATTTCCAAATCTGCAAAGTAGTCTTCATAGATATCAATAGCATTGTTTTGTTTGATACAATGTTCCATAATCTAATTAAGGCAAAATATATAAAATTATCAGGAACACAAAGAATATTTTTAACATAAGGAAAAAAGTGAACCACTACTTGGCTTGCAAATGAAAGGGTGCTCATAAAGACAATGCATAAAATAATAATAATAATAATAATAATAATAATAATAATAATAATAATAATAATAATAATAATAATAATAATAATAATAATTTTATTTAATTAAGGAAACACTTTCTCAACAAGGCTGTCAAGGCATTGAGTAAATCAACAAAACAGAAATTAAAATAAAATGGTAAAAATAGACTAATTAAAAATTAAAATCACATTACAGAAACTACAACAACAATAACTACACTGAATTATCTTAGATACACATACAATGTTAACTGAAATGCTTATATTTAGTTTTTTATTTTCATTTTAAAATTAGAAATTGTATTTGAGTTTTTGAGGTCATCACTAAATGATTTCTGATAGAATGTTTATAAATTGTATGCATGGCAAAAAGCCTGGTTATTCAGCATTCATGGGTAAAAATATACCTTTCAAATACTCATTGAAACGGTTTACAGTAAAGAACACTTACTGATCCGAGCTGCTGAATGGCATTGACGTACATTTCATCTTTTTCTACCTTCTTCCTATACCGGATAACTTGTTCAACCTCCTGAGGATTAACATCTTTGGGCCAACCACCTTCAACATGATTGATACCGCGAGTATCAGTTTCAAATCGCTCAGTATTGACCTGAAAGGAACAGAATGCGAGAAAATATGAAATACACACGATGCAATAAAAAATACTATTAAATACAGAAATCACAATTTACTATTACAATATTATACTGTAAACTTAACTTGGATTTCAGTCCTGTAGTTAACATTTTATCAAACAAAATGCATGGAGAGAGATTGGCCTAGACTTAGGTTTAGGCCAATAGTAAAATATATTGCCTACTTACATTGATTTTTAAATATCAATGTGTTTTAGGCAAAATATGAAAATTTGTTGGTCTTATTATTATTATTATTATGGTAATGGTTTTGTATTTAGCATCTTCCACAATCTAAATCATCTCAAGGTGCTCAAAAATTATTATTATTATATTCATTATTATTAAATATTATTGTGTTAGCCTTTTCTTCACCAATCGATTATTGTTATTATTATCATTATGATGATTATTAATTTTATTATTTACAGTCAATTGAATTTTTTTTTAAATATTTAATTTGATTTTTACAGTCATTTAACCTAGATATTTTGAAACTTTATTGAAAGTTCATAGATGACCTTAAAAAAATGATTAACCCAGTACTCATGATATAAATAATACCTCATGCTCTGACATTTCTTGGACACATTGTATTCCTCTGTCTACAGGATTCTTCTCGACAAAATTTGTTGTTAGACTCTCGTCGGGCAAAATGTCAACATGCAACTCTGCAGGCCTATCGGAAAAGTTACACTGTCTGCCAAACTCACTCCGTTTTTTGGTGTAAACATACACAATCTCCATGTTTGCCTGTGTGAAAGAAAATGAAAGCTCAAATAACTTTGGATGGAACAAAAACAACAATGTAATTATTGCGGACAGCACCAATGCTTTCCATAAACTAGCTCACTCAGACTCAGAACCACACACACTGCCCTGTCCTTATTTAGGTGGGGGTCTAGCTAGGGCCTAGGCCAAGCACTTGTATCCGACCAGTTTGTTGGAACCAGGTTTGCCGAGTCCATAGCTGTTTTACCGAAACCCAGTTTGCTGAATCTATTTCACCGGAATCATGATAACCCAGTTTTCCAAATACCAGTTTGCCGAATCTTGCCGTCACCATCATACAATTAAGCATAAAGCATACTGTGCTTTTGAAAACATGATGGGTGGGCAGGTCAGGGAGAACCGTTTTTATATATAATTAAATTAAAAAGCAGAATACTGGATAACAACAATGCTGCTGTGGAAAAACACATTTGAAAGCATGGCTATCAGTTAAAAATTAGAAATAAAATGAAGGATTAAGCACCGTCCTTATTTATATTATAAGACTTTTATGCTTATGATAACTGCCCTACATTGGATAGACCTAGGCCCTAGCTAGAGAGAGAAGATGAATACGGTACAAACTCGGCCTAGTCTAGGAGAAGGATATAGGCCTAGCCTAGGCAAACTTGTTGCTGGGGGCTAGGGGGTAGGTATACTGTATATGTAAACGTAGGCCTACCTAAGGCCTACTCAAAAGAAAGTAAAGCGCAAGAAGAAGCCTACTACTAAGGCCAAGGCTAGGTCTACTGAAACAGATCATTTCAATTCGGTCATCGGTGTCATCATCATTCACTGGGCCAGCTTTCGCCTAGGCTAGGCCCTAGTTTAGGAAGCAAAATGTAATGATGAGAGGAGAGGGGTTGACAGTTTGTCAATACAATGACATTCCGTTCGTTTTTAATGTTACATTATTTAAAGTTAAATCCATAATTGTAGCCTATTTTCACTAATTGCAACATCTATTATTGCTATTGTAAGTATTTAATCAGTTAACGATGCAGCAATTATAAAATCTAACGTCTAAAACTGCTTAAATACAAACCGTGAATTATTCTGTTGCACACTATCCTATCTAAAATTTTAGGTTGTTTGTTGCTAGGCACAAAATTGACCTGAGCATGCGCACTAAAACATCGACGAGAAAATTGTAGTGCGACGAACAGACAAAGCGTTTCAAACAGGTAACAGACTGTTGATATTGTAATTTACGTATAAGAGTAATATGCGTCGCCCTGGCGTGACAATCATTAGTATACCATTATTTTATCATAATGACTGCAGTAAAATTAAATATGAAATAATCAAAATGAACAGAGATGTATTCAGTTAAATTACCTATCGTTTTTATGGCAAAAGGTGGCGTAGAATGGCCCAGCAATCGCGCCAGCAATACATCATGTAACGCAAATTTAATGGATGTGACGAGTGCCTTTGAAACGCAGACTATATTCAGGGTCGGTCACTAGCGAAAGTTCAGGTACCAAAGGTTAGCTTTACGCCATAGTTTGGTTTTGGTTTTTCTTCTAAATATAAACAAATTTGTTATTTAGGAAGACATACATAAACCGGAAATTTCCAAGTTAAGAAAACAGGCGCAACGAAACACGGTATCTATTCGCTTTTGATTTTAGTTTAGGTCCTAGCTAGGCTGATGAACCTCGGCAGACAGAGTGTTGGCCCAACCCAAAACAACAACGTCGCCATCACCGACCGTGTCTGTTCTTTAATTTTGGAATTTACTGTCCAGCGTTTTCTGTAGCCTAGCCTGAGTGGAATTTCAACCTGAAATCTCGCTAAATGCCTCTAAATACTACTAGCAGCATGTCTTTCTTCGCTTCGAACCCATTTAGCTCACCAGTTGGGCAACGAATAGGTAAGTAGTTAAGTTTTACTATTTTTAGTTTTTCTGTGTTTTTTCTAGGCCTATTTATTATGTTCTACCTTTTTTCTTGGCATCATCATAGCTCCCTTTTTCAGGATCAATAAGGCCTGCCCTAATCAACACTGTCTGAAATCAACACAAATGTCAAAAAGGAAGAAATTTTTAAAATTAAAAAAAAAATAAATAAATAAAAATTCAAAAACATGTGTAGATTATTCATAATTTTGCACAAAACTGATACTACTACAATTATCCTACTGTACTGTAACTAATGTATTACTAAATGTAATGAAATTGAAGGAAACCATTCAAACTGTGTTGGTCCCATTAAAAGGTGCATTTATTAACTCTCAATTATAGTAATTAACATTGTAAGTAGATAGCATCAATAATTTTAAGTATAGTACTCAGGAATTACTTTTGATACACTTTTAATTTATTTCTCCTCTTTTATTTCTCATACAAAATTCTTTGCATACAGATAGTATATTTGTAGATTTGAAGTTTAATGTAATTCCAAAATTTTCTCCTTAAAAACTCTAGGCCTAGTCTTGGCAAATACTTTAATAATAATATTTTTACTATTTTTTAAAAATATTGTAACTTTGTACATGGTCCAATTTTATAGTAACTTATCTTACTAACTTTTGGTATTACTACTACTGTACAGCAGACTTGCCGTAAAAATAGATGTAGAAATTATTAACATGTATCATCTTATGAAAACTAATTAGATGTGTGTTATTCTGTTAGTTAACAGTAGGGATCATAATATTCTTGTAATGACACTTTGAAAGTGTTCAAATGATGTTGATGTCTTTTCTAATTAATTGACTTTCATATTAGAAGTTATCACAGAAGAAATATAAGAAGCAATTCAGTAAACATTTTGGTCTTGCTGAGATAAAACTGGTAAAAGAACAGTTAATATTAAATATTGTAAAACTTTGGAATTATTTACCATCAGATATTCACGACACTATATTCACATACTGTACTGCGCAATCTTTCATAAATCTAGACGACTTCTACAATCCTTCATAAATATTTCTCAATGAATTTTGTTTCATGTTTGTAGTTTAAGTGTCTGTTACAAGGAAGAACAAGGTCCTTACATTTACTGTAAATCAAACTAAATCTGAAAACATCCAGAGAAAAGAGATTTATTTTGTATTCTATTCTATTCAGTGTTGAATATGAATCTTTATAAAATGACTGTTTTATTGTTACAAGGCTAGAATCGTCACCAGTTATCCTGCAGTATTTTTAATTAAAATTATAATCCAAATACATGTATTGTTGGTAATTGCAAGGGAGTGTTCTGTATGATTGCAATTTGTTTCCCCTAGAGACACATTAACATTGCATTAATACATGATATCATATCAAATTGCCAACTCATTTTAAGGGAATCTTGAATGTGTGTATGAAATAATGACTAAGCGTTTTGTTTACCACTGAGTTAAATAATTGGAATACTGAACTAAATTCTAATATAGTATACTGCTTTTTAGTAATCCAATTTACTGTATTAGTGATAGGTATAAAGGTGAGGCCTATGGTATCTGAAGTTTAAGTTACACTTGTTTACTGTATTTTGTATGATATGGTTATTAATTCTGAAATAAAAGATGATAATAAAGCACAATATTACTATATATTCATTTTGTAAAAATTTAATATTTTTTAAATGAAAACTAGTCAAGTTATAAAGCATACTTTATTCTTAAAATTAATATTTCTTTGTCCAACAGAAAAGGCAACCAATGAATCATTAGCATCAGAAGATTGGGCATTGAGTATAGAAATATGTGACATAATTAATGAGTCTGAGGATGCGTAAGTTAACCATGTCATTGTCCATTTAAAAAATAAGCACTGGACAATGGTGTTGGGAAAGAGTCTGTTTTGGTCTTGTAATATGTACTTTTTATTACAAGTCTCCCTCTAATGAGAGACCCTGTCAAATAAAGACCCTTCCAATTAAAGACCACTTTTCTGTGGTCCCAAATTAACAATGTCTTTTATTTTTATTATTCTTTTTTTATTTGACACCAAAGCTGCTAAAGACCATGAAAACCCCGGTCCCAAAATTGGTTTTTAATTGGAGGGAGACCTGTGTGTACATTAATTTTTGAAGGCTTACTGTAGCTATTAATTATTCAATAGAATCACTTATTTAAGTATAGTCCAGATAATCTAGAGTAATTTTCTTTGACAAAAAAACTGTTGTATGCCCATGTATATACAGTAGTCATGATGTGTCTATATATGGTCATGATGTGATGCCATCATAACCATATTTAGGCATGCAGTATTCTGCCGAAGACATTTTAGTCCTCAATTTTACCGGTAAAAATAACTGACCAACCAGTAAAAATTTTGAGATTGTAAAATAATAAAACCACTGATTAGACCTACAGTAGGTAGTCTGCAGTAGGCTGTCCTTCTTTCAATAAATGAATATCATTTCAGTCTATACTGTACATTATGACTATAGGCCTATGTCGTCTTGTTTTTTGAAGTCATTAAACCCCATTCAAAAGGGATAACGCTTCACACTGCATGCACACAGTAGCTGAAGTTTCATGGACAAATTTACCAGTAAAATTGTGGAAAAACTGGCACGTATTTTTGTCAAATAGAATTTAATAGTCTGTATAGGATTTATTTATTTAATTTAGTCTAATAAATCGATGTTTTGATTATAAAAATATCAATGCTCACTGGGTATATGACAGTATATTTGCACCCTCCCCATTGCAAACATGTGGAGCAAAAAAATTATGCTGACGTAGTTTAAAAAAAAAAAACACCTCCTTTCACCATATTTTGAACTATAGTAGGTCCTCTAGCTACTAATCAGGGCCCCCTCCCCATTTAATCGTTGCACCCTATCAACTTACACCATGTCAATACTTTTAAGATGTACCTTGTATCATCATGCTCTGTAAAATTAGATAATAATAATAATAATAAGATTTGAGTTAATAATAATGAGGTTTTTAAAGCGCACATACTGTATCTATTGCAGTAGTGCTCAAGGTGCATCAGAATGACTGAACCAAAAATAAGTATTAATTTGGTATTTAAAAAGTGACAATCATACTGTACCGGATTAACTATCAAAGGCGTGGTGCATGTTAAATGAGGCTTCTTGTTGTTTTAAGTTATTATGTACAGTAATCTTGTAGGTATACATACCTGTACATGTTAAAACACTTAAAGCTTAACCTTCTCTCCAGATTTTCGAAAACAATATACAGTAAATGACAAAAGACTCATTTGATTCAATATGATTGACTGGTTTAATTGCATAGGCCTAAAATTTACGGTCAGCAATGCGATCTATACATACCTGTACCTGTATGTCTTGGTGAAATATAATAATACTATTTGAAAGGTGCAGGTACTGTATGTCAGGAATTCTCGTTAACCATGTTTCATGTAGCAAATGAACATACTGTACCATCGTTTTATTGATTTTTTTTTTATGATGAATAATATATATAAAATTTTTAATATTTTTATTGCTGTATTTATGGATTTGTACATTATAATATTTTACATTTTTGTAGGCATAAGGAGGCCATGAAAGCTTTCAAGAAGAAATTAAGTGGAAACAAAAAGTGGAAAGAAGTTATGTATACGCTCACGGTAAATATGCTGATTCTAAATCTATCATCCATATTTTTTTTTTGTGCATTGTCTGATCGAGGATTGTCATCTTCGTTAACTATACTGTATAGTCCAAAAAAGAATTTTGATCAAACACATAGAGTCAGCCAGACAATTTAGTGCATAGCTTTAAGCCTCATGTAAAAAGTCATACTTATAAATTGTCCTGTCAGACACCCCTGGACCCCTTTCCCCCGTCCGATGTGACGTCACAACAAGGTCATCGGATTGAAAACAATAATTTGCCTATCCATATAACATTATTTTGATTGCCAATCCCTAATACTGTAGTCTAAAAGCACAATTTGGGCATGACATAAAAACTCTCCCTCTGTACCCTAGCAGGGATTTTTTTTTCGGGTCCCTGACCGAGGTTTGAGTCGGTCCCATTGACTCAGATCCTCCTGTCAGACATTTGTTACTACAGTACCTGTCTGGAGCCACTGCTGCCTCGTGTGTTTTTTTAGATACTAACCAAACCTTAATCCAAGATTGACAAAAATTAGAAACATAATTTGTGTCTTTGGTATTATTAGCTACTGGAAACATGCGTCAAGAATTGCGGCCATCGATTTCACGTGCTGATCTGCAAGCAGGACTTCATCAAGGAACTTGTGAAGATAATCCAGCCGAGTTTCAATCCACCAACCGCCGTTCAAGAAAAGATTCTGATGCTGATTCAGTCGTGGGCTGACGCTTTCCGTTCTCTGCCCGACCTACAGGGTGTCGTTAAAGTCTATGAGGACCTGTCTCTTATACACATCTAGATGTGTATAAGAGACAGATATATATATATGTGGATAAGATAAATAGAAATTTGAGGTATGTTGTGTGTTTTATCAAGTATGAAGAAAGTGTAAGCATTTGTACGAGGCGATAGAGCAAATTAATAAGGTAGAGAAAATGCAAGACTTTTTTATACCCTGTTTCGCAAACTTATTTTTTTAAAGGTTGTCAGAGGAGGGCGGAATAAAAATAAAAATAAAATTTTGTTTTCTTATTTAGCAAATAGTTTTGCCAGAAACATCCAGATGGAGAAGAAAATAAAATTTTATTCGTGAATTTAACCAATATAGCACATTTTTATAATTAAAGATTGGGAGATTTCCAGGCAGCAGCAGGCGTAATAAAAATAAAGAAAAACATTCATTTTCTTCTGAAATTTCCATTTTTTAGTGGTGGCAGGTGCGCTGACTGGTGCGAAATAAAATTTAATTTTTATTCAAAATTATTATTATGGGTGGCACGTTCGCTAAACGAGGTATAAAAAAAAGTCCTGCCTTTATCTAGTAAAAAACTTGTATTCAATGGTAAAGTTAAAACCTTCCATCAGATGGGTAGTGACTCTCTGGTACCTTGGTTTCAAATTTTCAACCTGTTGAATATATTATGGTGTTATGGTATGGTACCATTTATTATGGTTATGTAAAGTTAGTTGTTACATAATCATTTTTACTTCTGAATTTTTTAGAGTGTACCTGAAACAGATCCAGCAGTTTCTCGCCCTCCGCCACAAAACAGACAGGTTAGCATTTTATTTGAATAGCAATAATTTAATGATAAAAACAATGATAAAAATCTAGAGTGGTAGCGTAAAAATGTATATATTTTAAGGATCCCTAAAGCCATTTTTAAAGGTTTATTTATAAATTTGATACCTTAATAAATTCATGGATTTAGGTCAAAATATTGATAATTCAGCCCTAAAGGTCTCTTTGTGTCTGAGCTGGCTGGTAAACCAGTACCGGCTACCCTCATCTGTCCACAACAGGTGGCTATATAGACCAGTAAACCCCCTACTCATCTCGAATGCACATGAACAAATTGTGTACACTGGGCCTACGGTTTATAGTCCTTATCCAAGAAGACTTGTTCCACCTCTAGAACCATAGGCGAGCATGGGTTCGAACCATCACCGATATTATTACTGTAAGTTTCGGCGCCCCGCCTTAACTGCTCAGCCATTCGACTCGTCACTTAACTAGGATAGGTCTTAACTAGTATGGCATATATTTCGTAAATTTACATTTCATTTTTATCTGTAGTTCATGACCCATCCCAGCATTCCTCCACCAGATTTACTCTTACAAGGTCAATTGCGAGACAATAACAAAGTGTCTACTGCCCCCCCCCCACTCCCCGGGGCAGTAGACACAAAAGTCAATGAATAATGAATGATCTGTACCTTTAAAAATGAGTGATTTGAAATTCAACGATTGCTTATTGCATTTTAATATATTTTTTGCAACTATGCCATGATTCCTAGAAGAAATAATCAATTTCTTGTTTAGCACTCCTGACAATAACAAAACATTTGTGTCAAACAGATATTTTTAACAATTTTATTGTTTCTATGTTATTGTTCTTATCTTATTCATGTATTTGTAATTCTGGAGAAGCACAAGTTTCCAGTGACAGCGTTTTTATGCTTATGCTTCCCCTTTTGCTTTTATATCTTTTTGTCTAATCAAAATTTGTAAATTTTTTTTTTTGCCAAAATGAATAAAGTAAAAATAACTAAGGTCATACAAATTAACATGAGTTCTTTTCTGATATCTTACGGAGATTTATTCAAACAGACGTGTGACTGAACTTTCATAGTCTCCATTGTTTATACCTCATAGCCTTACGCTCTACTTTGCTATTTAAGTATGTTCTTTTTTATATTGATTTAGGTTTCACAGCAGCCTGCAGTGATGATCCAACAGCCTATCCGAGGCCCGGGGCATCCCCCAGCCCGTGCCCCAGCCCATGCCCCAGCCCAGCCTGAAGGCCCAGTCAACCTAACACCAGATCAACTAGCCAAGATGCAGAAGGATCTTGAGGTCGTCCAGGGTAACTACCGAGTCTTCTCAGAAATGCTTACAGAGATGACCCCTGGGCAAGAGGACCCTGGGGATTTGGAGCTGTTGCAAGAGCTGAGTCGCACATGCCGTTCTATGCAGTCTCGTGTGGTGCATCTTCTCAATATAGTTAGCAATGAAGAAGTGACAGGTATCTTATAACCTCTTGATCTTATTATTTAATAGGTCACTGTATGTGCGCTGAACCATGGATATCCATGAACTTAACATTGTCATGTTGCAATGTTCACAACGTCAAACATTGGATAGTTAAACATGTAGAATATTTATTTTATGCATATTAGTAGAACAAATTAAATACAATAAAATAACTTTATTATCCCACAAAGGGGAAACTCAAAAAATAAATTATGTAATAAAAATATTTAAATTTTATATATTAAAAAAAATCAGACTATATATATATATATATATAATGTCTATATATTAATTATCCCAAGTTTATACCTGTGCTTATTCCTAACATTGAATCAATATTCCCACAGGTGAACTGTTAAGAATTAATGACGACCTGAACAATGTTTTCGTGAGGTACGATCGCTTTGAGAGATATCGTCAGCAATCACAATCAATGAATCCCCAAGCCCACCAAACAACAGGTGTTCAGTCCTATGCAGCAGGGACAGGAACCAACCCCCCTGCCTACCAGGTCGGTGCAAGTACACCTGCATATCTAGTTGGTGCCCCACATAGCTATCCAGTAGCTTCACCAGTGTATCCAAGTAATGTACCTATCACCGGTCAACTACCGTACCCAGCTGCTGGAGCACCAGCATATGGAACAACGATGGCGCCACCAACTCAGCCTGGTGGCGGTTATCCAGTTGGCACCGGACAAGTACCATACCCAGTTGGTGCACCGGCATATGGTACGACAACGGCACCACCAAGTCAACCACCACCAAGTCAACCACCACCAACGCAGGTTAAAGCTTGTTACTTGTTTAATACTTTTATACCGCTTATTCCTTGCGTTTACAAAGTGTTGACTGCACTTCACTGTAATGAATAATTCTCTCAAGTACAGCCCACCCCAACCAAAACCAACAGAGTATGCTTTCAATACTAGCCTGGGTTCCAGGCCCTAATTTTAGGTTACTCACTCTTTATTGCACTTAGTGCGCGCCATACCTAATTTAATTGGCGTCCCATACTCGATTTCTTTTTTTTTCGAATTAGGGCCTGGGCAAACGATTCATGCGTGCAATTTCCCACATCAAATTTGATGTGGGATATCGTATGCATGACTGATTTTGCAAATCATGTGATAGGCTAACCTCATGCATATTAATCAATCTTCGTAAATTTTCAAAATTGAAGATGCGGATGTCTCGACTAGAACAAGCTCCAGCTCCCTTTTGGCTACCTACTTGAATTAAAACAGTTAGTATAATAGTTCTGGCCTGCTGAGAACGACATGGACTGATAACCGTAGGCTATAGACCGGGAGCCCAGAAAATTTAATCATGTGAAAAGAGACAAAAGGTTTGATGGTCTGGTCATGATAGTATAGGGCCAAGATAAAATATTCAGTATTGCTGCCGGGGCACATCCTGTACAAGCGGGCTGGGGGAAATGAAATAGGGGGTTAAATAATGTGTTTAATCATGTGGGGAGAGACATGGATAAAAATAATTGGATATTACTCCCAGGTAGATACTTGCTATAATGTCACAGGTGACAGCAACTTTTACCTGTACGTGACCTTAAACAGTGACATTAAAGGCCACGCCCAAATACAT